TAATGGCCCTGATGAGCCCACGTCTACAAAGGGGCACCACCTTGTGGACATAAGTCTCCACATTTTGGCTCAGGGTCTTTGCCAGAGAAGATCTCTGACAATTTCAATTGAAAAAATTTCATCCATTTTCCATGGTGAGTTTCCAATAACCGCTCACCAATTCAAGGTTTCATCTGGAAGTAGTCATCAGAAACCCGGTCGTTGAAAAAGAAGAAAACACTAGTTGGAGAGGTTTTAAAATTAATTTATTGGAAGCACAGATTTACAGAGCAGGAAAGATAGACTTTCATCCACTGGTTCATTCCTGAATCCCAAAATGGCCAAAATGACCAGAGTTCAGCTGATCTGAAGCCAGCAGCCTCCTCCAGGTCTCCCATGCAGGTACAGGGTCTCTAAGGCTTTGGATCATCCACCACTGCCTTCCTACACCGTAAGCAGGGAGCTGATAGGAAGGGGAGAAACTTGAATACGAACCAGCACCCATATGGGATGTCTGCACTTTCAAGTGGAGGATTAGTCAGTTGAACAACGAAGCTGGCCCCCAGCTAGAGAAATTTTAACCTCAGCACATGAAGGGGTATAGTTTAATTCCATCTTGCACATTGGAATCACAGATGAAGGTGATCAAAAGTCAGCCCCAGATCATGCACCATTGGCTGAACTGGGAATGACTACAAGTCACCAAATTGTAAAAGAGGAGTTAACATCCACTCTTCTGAAATAATGTGTGAGACTGGGTGAAGCTTGGAAAAAAGTTGCTTAGAAATCACAATCAGAAGAATGGGCCTGCTCTCCAGGGCTCTCTCTGATGTTGTTCTATTCCAGTGCAAGTCAAGATGAGTGAAAATCAATCCAAATGGCACCTGATTTAAAGAACGAAGGCCATCTTGTCACTGCAGTTTCTCACACCTACCTTTGTCACGGTGGTACTTTCTTCAGTGGAATCAAGCAGCAGGAACTGGGGAGAAGCCCAATATCCTAAATGGGCATTATCTAGCAATTATTTTTCTGTAACCTCTATTCTGCTTTTTGTCTAGTCAGTAAATAAGGTAGCCTTTGAGGCTGCAGCTATGTTTTAGGCTATTTGTAGATTTTTGATACTCATATGTAAAATAGAAAAAGCTTAGTCTGCCCTATATCCTGACTGTGTGCCTGTGAATTGGGAGCGAGACACATGGAGGGATCTAGAGAGAGTGAAGCCGAGTTTCCTGAGAGCAAGTCCTCCCAGAAACCTGAAGCACAGATCTGACAATGAGATGTCCTTATAAACAGTCCCCTAAAAGTTACAAACTTCTTTGAACTTTATTGATACACTGCACAATCACAACCATCCTGAATTAGAAAAGGTTACAACTACAATGGAACATGCACAAAATTCAGGTAGTATATTCACCCTTCATACAATTATTGACAGAAATCAAGTCTCCATTGATTTTTTTTTCAAACGAAAAAAAATAAGAAAAAAATAAAAGCAAAAAAAAAAGAAGAAGAAGAATTCTAGATGGCTGACGAAGTTATACTTACTGCATCGTGTGATCAAGGTTTAAAGCATCCGAACAGATTTGTTGTAAGGGTAATTGTGGGAATGGGCACACCCAATGTCTGACACAGCTATAACGGCACCATTGATAAGTCATATATATATATTTCTTTTAAAATCTAGGGAACTTTTGAACATGACAGACACATTTCATACACCACCCACACATTCCTCACAACTGCACTTTACGTGTCACAAAAATCTCTGAATGATTAAAAATGCTCCCTTTCACTAACACAGGGCAGCAATTATTACTTAGCATTGTAATTACTGATATCCTTATAAATCTGCCAAATCATGTGGGCTGTAGTCCCAGGAGGACGGGAGAGGCTTCCCATTCTTTCTTTCTCCACTCACTCTGTGGAACAATGTGGTGCCGTCACGGGGCACCATCGAGAGAAATGGAAAGAGATCTGTCTCAAGAAGCTGGGAGCTGGGCTCAGCTAACTACTGTCAGGTGGAGACAATCACTCTAATGAAGTCCACTCCCCATGCTGCTGGATTCCAAGTGTTCTGCACCTGAAGGCAGATTGCACTGCTTCAGCTCTGTCTTTTTTTTTTTTTTGCCACATCCTTTAATTGTACATATATTTCTTCTTCCTTTCATTTACTTCTCTTAAGTAAGAAATGAGGGAAATGAGACTAGCATTTTTATTTGTTTGTGTTTTAGTGATCATTACGAGTTCTCATCATCTGGTATCTTTTTGAAAACGTTGCCTTCCCAGTTACACACCTGTGAAGTTTTGCTGCCACAGCTCAAACTTGTCTAACGGAGAAACACGGGGAAGCCTTGAATAAAAGGAGGGAAAGTGATGGTTTGATTTCACAGGAATAGGTTGTTCGAAATGAAAACCAAAGATTCTAGGCAATGGCAGAAAAGAAAGAAACAGTGCTTTGCAAAGAGAAAAAAAAAGTTCTACTTCCCTATTTCTGAAGGGAATGATATTTTGGACAGAAGCACTGTGGTAGTGAGAAGATCTGGCTCTAGAGGTTACAAACCTAATGTTTCTTATTCTAGTGAGAACTCAAGGATCACACTGAGGAAAGAGCACCCTGTGAGATCTTAGCTCATTGCAAGCCCTTCTGCCAACCCTTTTGCAATGGGTTTGATCACAGCCATCTTCAGCTTCAGAGAAGATGTCCCTAATTAGCACTGGATGCTGCAAGCAAAGTTTGAATATTTAATTTAGCGTTGCTCCTGATACAGTGGTAGGGATAAACTCACATTGAGATCAACCATGCACTTACTTGGGGAATCTCTGCCCTTTGGGATTTGTGGTTCTCCATGTAGATGCAGAACTTGCTAAGCACTCTTTGGAGAGGACATGTGGAGGTGTGAACTCCACCCCAATTATGGGGTTTCTATAACCCCAGAGCACACCTGCCACCCAGCTTTTGAGACTTAATTGCCCAGCTTATGAACTGAAGCATCTGGGAAGAGATGTGGACTTCAGAGGGAAAAGATTGAGAGCGAAAGAGAGCCCAGGCAGCAAAACCAGGTACAGTGCAATGTGCACTAAATGTGCTCATACTTTGACAGCCCTTTGCCTTCACCCTCCCAATTAAAACAAGAATGAGAGACTCAAAGCCCACCTATTTAGATTGCAGTTGACTGTAGCAGGCACTTGACAAGGAGAAAGAGGTTTGGCCAGGGTGAACACTAGTGCCTTCATCAGCATGACTTTAGTGGAATTACATGCAGTATTGACTTTGGGGATGTGAAAGGAGCTCACCGTGACTGCATTGCTCCCCACATAAGCCCCCATACAGAGCTGCAGGATGCACAAAGACTTGTTTCCCCACCTTTGCTCCCACACCCCCACCACCCTCACCACCAGGACCCTGAACACTTGTTCAGTTGACCTAGCCACCTACCTACCATATGTGATGTTGGAAAAGCAAGGGTATCTGTGGATATTGTCTTCGGCAAATATATGCTGCTCTTTACACTTCCAGATGTTGCATAGCCAGTGCCCACGTAATCGTCCTCAGCCAAGGCACTCAAAAAATGTAGCTAGCAGAGGTCTCACGTGAAGAAAAGCTGTTTTTACTCCCAGTGTCCTGGTAGACTTGGTACTTGGTCTGATCGACTTGATATTCTTTGTGCTACATTAATGAGGATTCACGGTAGTATGTGATGGCACAAATATGTCCCCACCAGAGGTGCGTCCTAGTATCTGATGGGATGGGGCAAAGCTGAATTCTGCAGTTTTCCTGAGATCAGCCACATTGGTTTGAAAAAACTGTAATGATGACCTGGGCCAAATAAAACAAATATTGGACTGAGGAAAAAGGGATATCTCATCTGTTTCCAGAGTCGTGTTCTCGAAGACCACCTACTTGCCACAGCTTGCACATTTATTTCACCTCATAGTAACAAATGCAGTAACCGTGGCTCACTCAAATGACACATTATTCTCACACAGTGTCTGACATCAACTCAGTCCCAGGGGCTGATTCTAGTGGCAGATCTCAACCATGGATATACCCGACCCTTAAATTTTGACTTTGTGCCTGCTCATGAAATTCTCTGGAGCTTAGCATCAATTGACTCTTTTTTGGCTCATCGTTTATGTTTCCAGAACGTGGCTCTTGGCAGCTCACTAGGAAATGCAGATGTCTGTAGATAGCTAGCATTTATCATGTTCATTTCACTCGTACCAGATCAACCTCTTACGGCAGAGCTGAGTTTTATGGATGCTGAGAGAGCATGCGTGTGTGCAAGCACGGGTGCATATGTGCCCCTACTGTAGACATCATGTTCATGCATCAAGGGGGACACTTCTTTTGGAGGAAGAAGATTAGCTACACATTAAGGGAATGGAACTATGGAGCTCCATGAAGCTCACATTTATTATTTTAAAAAATGGACCCCAAGTAGCTTTCCAACTGAGGCAGGACAGGTATGTAAGAAAGACATTGTTAATGAATCTTCCTCATTCTCTCCACAGGCTTGCCCCTGCTTCACACTTGTGCAGTGCTTTTCAATGCTGTTCTTTTGCCTCACAGGCCGCTTTGCAGGACCAATTCACTTATCCCAGAAGACTATGCAGAATAACAAAGTCCACTCTTGTTTGAACACTGGAGGTGCTTGGAACTCGGTGAGCTGGGGACATTCTTCCCCAAAGCTACTCAAGAAGCAGCCCGCCTTGGAAGGAACTGTGACACACATTCCCCCTTCTATTTTCAGTGTTGCGTTCATCAAGTGCTTAGAAATTAAGTCAGTTGCTCAAGGGCCCTCAGCTCAGAAGAGTTTCCTGAAACAAATACCAGAGTTGTCAACACACCCGCCATGTAATTGGCCTCCATCAGCTCTTTCCTGGGTAATTTTCAAAACAGATCAAACCAGAACTAGGCAGAGAAGAGCCAGCAGTTGAAGTCCTTGCTTTCTTTAATGGGTGGATTGCTGACTGCACATTGCAAACAGGCGAGTGCTTTCTGTTACATTTTTTTTTTTTATTACTAGGTAATGCCATAGCTTCTTGACATGCTCTCTCTTTGAAGACCAAGAGAAGAACTACAGTTGGTACCTAGGTTTTCAACTGTGAAAGAAATAGCACTAACAAAGGCTTTCAGAGATGGTCTCCTTCCCAAGATGTTGCCTTTAAGACACAGATCCTCTTCCGGAAATACAGAGTGACTAACTCTCCATATGCCATGTTGATCTACCTGTTAACAGTGTCTAATTAAACGGATGGAATACCATGTTCCAAAGAGTGCCTGGCAAAGGGTACTGCATTTCTGTGTTGTGGTTAGCTGCTGAGATCACTGGTTTTGATGTGACATCCTGATAGGCAATTTTGAAGATGCAAATATCTGCTGATAGTAGAAGACAAATGAATATAGTGGGATTGACATCATCTGATTAGAGATTTAAATGGTAATGAATTCAGAGAAGTGGGGTGCAATGGGAGTGTTACATTATTAGATTGATAGAGTAAATAAAGAGGAAGACAGGTGGGTAATAATTATAGGGACAAAGAAATCAGACAATTGAGTAGATGGATAACCATGTGATTACTCTGATAGCCTGATAAGATCTAAATAATCACCCATCTAATGCTCAATCTTTCATGAGTTGGATGATATTTTTAAAAGAGAAGCACTGTCTTCAAAATCCTTCCTCCTTTTACAGTCACTTGGCCTTTAAAGTTTTAGCTTTAGGTTGCATGCAGAGCCCCAAACCTCCAGTCCCTGTAGCTGGCAGAAGAAAGGAATAGGATGGGTGACTACAGAAGGTGCAGGATTTGGATATTGTGAAATAACTTCCCAGAAAGAAAAGATGTGAATCCCAATGGGAGTACATAATAATAAAGAGGGAGGGGATATGTACATTAAAATTAGGAAGATGATCTGAAACAGAAGATACAGATAATAGGATAATAGGACACTTGAATGTAACCCTCAGTATGCACTCCGTGGAGGCAAGTTGTGTCTTCAGGGTGTTTATCATTAGACACATTTTTTTGCCCAAATGGAATTTACGGTTTGGTGTGTGGCGGTGGTGATGGTGGGGGCTCATGGTCATGATGATGGGAAGAGAAGCAGAGGAAAAGGAAAGACCAAGGTAACAGGAGCACATTCCATTTTTGGACACACCCATGAATGAGTATTCTACACGTGGTAGAACCCTGCCCAACCCTCCCCCCAACCCCACTCATTCCATTTGGAAAACAAAACCACATAAGTAAACAAAACAAACAAACAAACAAAATAAAAACCCTACAGACAAAAAAAAAAAAAAAAAAAAAAAAGAAGAAGAAGCCCAAACTGGTTTGCCCTCCGCAGTGTAGATTAAAGTCTGTGAGATGGAGAAGCAGGCGTTCCTCAGAGGACCTATGGTTTCTTATCAAAACTTGATGAAGAAGTGGGCAAAGAGAGTCCCTGAGAGCCAGAGACAAGCCAGCGCTCTCGAGGCCGAGTTTACACCATCAATGACTGCTCCAGGCCCTGCGTAGGGGAAAGAGAGACAGACCTGTTAGCTGCACCCAAGGACACCATGCATCTTCTCTGACAAGAAAATACACAGACATGCTTCTCTGAGAGCATTCCCCCACTTCCTCCCCACACGTCATATTGAAAAACTCAAAGGGTGCAAGTCACTGAACACTTCAGCTTACTCTGAAATATCAATGTGTATTTTTAAAAAAATTATTGATATTATTTTGAAAGTCAGCATCACAGACAGAGGAAGAGACACATTCATACACATAGACTTCTTTCCCCTAAACCCCTGCAATGGACAGTGTTAGGCCATGTGGAATCCAGGAACTTCATTCAGATCTCCCATGTGGTGGCAAATACCCAATCTTCTGGGACATCCACTGTTTTTTCCAGGCTCTTAGCCTGGAGTGGATTGGAACCAGAACTCTTAGGAGGTGATGCCCATATAGGATCCTAGCCTCAGAGATAGCAACTGTATCCACTATGCCACAATGCAGACCCTTGGGGGCATATTTTTAATGTTTATTTATTTATTTGTTCTTCTGTTTGAAAGTAGCAAGAGAGAGAGACAGAGAGAGACAGAGAGAGAGAGAGAGATTGGGATGAGGTGGAGAGACAGTGGTTTCTATCTTCTGCTTTGTTCATTAAATGTCCTCAACAGCCATAGCCAGGCTAGATCAAAGTCAGGAGCTCAGAACCCACTCTACTCAGGTGTCTCCCATGGGTGACAACATTTGGCCACCACTTTCTGCTTTTCAAAGATACCAGGCATTTTCAAAGGAACCTGTATCAGAAGTAGAGTAGCAAGGACTTAAGCTGCTACAATATGGGATCTACTCCAACTGTTGAGCCACAATGACTGCCTCTGAAAGACTTGGTTTAAAGTATAGAAGGAGATGTGGAGCAAAGAGTTGTAGGCTTTTGGCTTAGCTGTCAAAAGTCCTATATCCTTATCAGGATACCTGTGCTCCTAACTACTGCCATCGACACCTGACTGTAAATTCTTGTTAACGTAGACCCGGAGAAGGAGCAGTAAAGGCCTAAACAGATAGGTTCTTGCCTCCCATTTGGGACACCCAGAATGTGTTCCTGGCTCCTGACATTGATTTCAACCTAGCTTAGACCTGACTGTTCTGGGCATTTGGAACATGAATCAGTGCACAGGAACTCATTGTCTTTTTCTCTCATTATCACCCTCTCTTTTCAACGCTCCCTTCTTCCCTCTCTGTCTTTTGTCTCTCTACCTGTAAAACAAGTATTTTAAAAAATGAGGGATTGTGAGCTAATCATTTATGCCAGTGAACTGAAAAATTTGAACAACAGGAATCAATTCTAAGGCAGGTGCTAATGGCACCTTCAAAAGATGTGCTTCTCTTTGTGCCTAATCCATGGAAATGACATCTGTTGCAGACAGAGATAAACAGGAGGAAGAGGGTCTGAAAGGACAAGAAGAGACAGGGAAAGAGAGGAAGAGGGTGTAGGAATTTTGTTGTTAAGAAATGTATATGTGGATGTGGACCATGTGCATCTTTGCTGCATGGTGCAAACAGGCTGTCGAGGGAGCCTCCTGAAGAGGCTAAGGTTAGGAGAGAAGTTGTCTTCAGAAGTTCCATTGGTAGTGGGGTCCTGTGTCTGGCAGCCAAGAAGACTCTGCCCTCCCAGACTGGATGTCATGTAATAACCATGTCTAAAGAAGACCTCCTTTTCCCGTTCTGTTTTCTTTCCTACCTGTCTTCATTTCCTACTTGTACCCACTAAGGCTCTTAGGCAAGACCAGCAGTTCCCAGACGTACTGTGTAAAAGTGAAAGCAAAACTGACTGTGGCCAATGGGCCAACAACAGGCATCTCCATAAGACCAGCAACAAAGGGAAGAAGAGATAGACAGGAAGGCATGTCACACCTCTTATCTCATCTCAAGCCAAAATGGCTTCAAGATGCAATTTGGTATAGTGGTAGCAAGCATGATTTCTTTGCAAATGGAGGTGGTATAGAGGTGGTCTGCAGATAGTGCCTGAGTCATTCCCTTGCCTGTCAACCCAACAGAATGGACTTGTGTCCTGTGTGAGAATGGATTCATGCCAATGTTTTGCTGAGGGAAATTCAGGGCTCTCTTGTCAACAGGTAAAATGTGTTTGTCCCAACTCCAGCCATACCATCAGCCATTCTTTCTTTTACAGAATATTCACTATGCTCTGTTGGTCTAAAACATTAGGTTTTAGGTGATACTGTACTTCATGATGCTCTGCATTTTTCTTATACCGTGGTCATAAAGAAGGGAGAAATTAAAGTTCTAACACGGTTCTGCTAGTTGCCATGATGGCTCCTTAAGTGTTTATATAAATCAACCTGATCCTGGGGCCTTCAGAAGTTCTGGTCTATAACCTAAGGAATCCTGCCGGCCTACAGAATGAAACTGGGTGGGAAAATACTTTAGATAGATATTCAGTGTCATTCTAAATACTGTCTTTTGCAAAATATGAATGACTTGGAAGTTTAGGAAAATTTACAAGGAATAACAGAGGTCTGTGTGTTCTTTTAAAAGTATATTTCCATTGGTACACAAACATTTATTTGGAATTTTTTGAGATTGGTTTGATGGCCATTTGTATTTAGCAGGGGCTGGATATAGGACTCCTGTAGGTACCAAAGGCCCCATGCCTGCTCATGTCCCTCCCATAAAATCATGTAATATTTTCGTATGATCTGAACCCACCTCCTGTGTACTTGACATCACATCCTCAGTGTCTATAATCCAAAATATAATGTTAATGCTATATAAATAGATGCTATCCTATGCTGCTTAGGGAACAACAAGAAGAAAAAGACGTCTGCATATTTTTGGTAGGGATGCATTTTTTTCCAAACAATTTTGACTTGTGGTAGTTGAGTACAGAAATGTGGAATCATAAGACATGGAAAGCTGCTTATTTATACACACAGTATATACCTCTCTTCAAAAGTATATGCCTTTTCCCTGGAAGTATTTCAATTCCTTATGTGTGTATTTGTGAGTCTGTGATGCATGGTGCATGTATGTGTTCAATTTGTTATACTGATTTCAGATAGATTTAAAGCTCCAACATGACCTTCACCCAAAAGACTGAGAATTTTATCGTACAAATTACTTTATTTCAAGGTCTATCAGTGGATTCAAGCACTTCTGTGGCTATCAGGTGTGTCTATGTAGCTGAGCCGACAGGCAACAGGAAAAGTATACAGGAAAACAGCACAGAACAGTGAGGGCTTGATAAGAGAGTTGTGTGGGATGATTGCCATAAAATATTGATTCTGAGCAGGTGCAGAGTTCATAGCCACACTCAGCTTGTGCTTTGTGTTCCAAAGTCTGGGATGACAGGAACAATGTGCAAGCACAATTTTAAATGCTCACCCTATTGTGACTCATTTAAATATCACAATATTACTATGTGCTGCTGTCACCCCCACTTTATAAAGGAGGAAATCAAGAAACAGCAGTTCAACACCCCGCTTATGAGCACACAACCGACACATCTGGAGATAAATCACAACTAAGTTACTCTCCATAGAGTTTGTGACTTTGATTTCTACAGCTCTGTTTCTTATTCTTCTTGTGATCCTCTGTGTATGTTTCACAAGGCCCACAGCAAAGTGGACTGAAGAGAACAACAGGCAGGGGGGTCTATTTTAGAGCATCTCTTCTCTGGGTCTCTGTCCTCTACCTGCAGATGGAGATACCGGCATATAAGGCTTTTGTGCTATTGGCTATGTTGCTATATAAGCAGAAACTCCACCTGTGGTGGTAGATGGGACAGCTGGTGAAACACCAAACAGCTTTTCAGTTGGTACCAAACCTCTACCACCCTCGTTTTGTGCACCCATACACATCATCTCCACTTGAATCATGAAGAGACTACAACATATTCCTAGACTCAACTTTTCCATTTTTGGCCCCATTTTCTATTCAGCCTCAGGGAGTTTTTAAATATTCTGAGCATCTGCTTGGCAGCCACAGATGAGAAGGTGGAATTAAGATCAAAGAAATCTTTGGTCAACCAATTTTTTGTGGAATGACTGAGCTACTGTAGTCAAAGAGTTAATCTACTCCACTGCTATGGAAATTAAATCTAACATTGTTTTACTCCACACACATCTTGAACACATTTGAGATCCGGCAGCTGGGCTAACTAAGGGACAGTTGGGGGTTTGCTGGGAGGAGAAAAGAGGGTTTCACGCTCTAGGTTGGGGGAATTTGAGATGAGAGTTATCAGTCATGATAATTTCAGTCTCCCAGTAGCCCTGTTTGACAGGACAAGAGGGGAAGGAAGCACCAGGATTGGGTCTCTGCCATTGGTTGCCTGTGTGCTACACTTATTTTCTGGACTTAGGCAAATGCCTTTTTATGCTTCAATAAAAAAGAAATGCTTCATTGCTGCTCTTTAACTGTTCTCAGGTGGCCCTCAGGCCTGTTGGCGCTCACACTTGGTCCCTTAGACCGCAGTGGTCCTCTGCAAAAGATGCTGAGTGAACACAATGGAACCCTCCTGTGTTATTTGGAAGGGCATGGTATAGAAGCAATGATTGGTCCTGAGTTCCATGACTGTAGCTGCAAAGCTGGAAAGTACATCTGCAGTGCCAGGGGAAGGGTAGCTTTCCTCTGCTATTGTGGTGGCTTTTTCAGGAATTAGCAAAAAGATTGAGCAAAAGTCAAGGTCGGTGGAAAGGGTAAAGGGCAACATGCCCATTCTGTAAAGGAAACACTCCCCAAGCCAGCCTCAGAAAAGGCAGGGCCATTCATTCAGCAAGTCTTGGGAGTGTGCCACATGCCATGCTCTGCTTTTAGAAAGTCAGTTTCTGCCTTCTAATACCAAGCATGTTTTCTGTCCTAGCCTAAATACATAAATAAGCAAACAGATAAATCTATATTTTTAAGCCTTCACAGACTCTAGGAACAAAGCCACTTGGAACAAATAATCCCACATCCCTTTCATCTCAGGAACATCCTTCCTGTTGGATAGTCTTAAGAGGA